GTGTGGTGTAGCGATGTGATGCTGGAAGTGCATTTGGCCTCGTGTGTTTTTGAGTTGACTAATCATGTTTTGCTGCTGAAAAACGTGGACGTTAGAGCTCACTCCCGTGGAGCTTGTCAAGGCTGTTCAACCACTTCCTACAGACTTTACTGTCGAAGCGCGGTGTGGATGTACATCCTCATCATTGCGGACCGGTGGGATGTGTCAGTGCGGCTGCGTTTGGCGCGGTTCCATAGTCGTTCTGCACCAGTTGTTGAAGCGGGCAAGTAACATTTCCATATTATATCCTTCGTACTACTCGTTTTCTACCACTTTTTGTCGCATACGCGTTTCAACAAAAAGGCTGAGAACGGGTTCAACAGTGCACACTCATACTGGCTGACACGCCCCACCGGTCCGCAATGGTGAGGACTGTATTGAGGGTGGTGAAGGAATACGCCGTAGGCTGCGCGATCTATGTCAGTTAAGATTAGCGCGTGATCAACACACATTTAGTAAGTAATTTGATGTAGAGCTGTTTCCATTTGATTCTGTAGCTTGTCCAAATCCACGTCATCAGGCTCCCAATTCTGTAAAATAATCAGCTGTTTGAAGAGCCAGAAAGCAGGAGCCAAGATGGACGCTGATCCTACAGCGATCTCCCATTGTAAAAATTGTACAAATAGATCAGCATCCCATTTGGGCCGACCGCAGGTATGGATAAGTGTAGCGTGAGGCTGCGTTAGTATTCTGCTCCAGGAGATAGGAGAAGCGACGACTCCATTTTTTGAGAGAATGAGCACTAGAAGGATGATGGCTATCGATTGAGAGTTTTGAGGGAATGCGCTTTCTTCTGCAACGACTAATTCTCCTTCCCATTGAGAAGGACAGAATCGGCGCAGTTCGGCGAAGGGGGGGGGGCTTCTTACTATCACTGCTTCCTTAATCCCTTTTACAACCCGCACTCCGGCGAAAGGGAGACGGTAAAGGGGATCGTTGGGGCATGTGACAAGAGAATCGTAATTTGCCGCGCTGCTGGGCGTCGCGTGCGACGTCTCGTCTGCAAAACAAGATTATAAGTTCAGGTTGTAGCAGTGGGTCAAACAGCATGCCTTATTAAGTCACGCGAAACAGCTGTCCAGATACGGGGATTAGCATGAAGGCGGTGCTCTCATTCGACGTTAAAGCGAGTTTAGCAAAAGCGTCCGCGCTCATCGGCGAGCGCGTGGCGGGTGGGGAAAATTACGATCCTCTTTACCGTCTGCCGCGGATCGTTGCCCCGCCCAAGCGGGGGGAGGCGGTCGGCGTTTTCTAACTCGTCGATGAGCACCGGACTTTCATGTAGACCCCGTCATCGTAGACAGTAATTACTGTTTTCGATCCGTTAATTGCATGTTGCGCCCATCTACTACCTGGAACCATCGCCTTTGCAGACGAGACGTCGCAGCGACGCCCAGCAGCGCGGCGAATTGCGATCCTCTTGTCACCTAACCTATAACCGGAAGCTAGAGCAGGGCCATCATGTTAAAACCTGTCAAAGATGAGGCTGCCTAGATATGTGTCGATCAAAAGTAACAAAAGTGCGAAATACCTCTCCGTTGCCGAACGACGCCGACAGATTCTTCTAGGTACCTGAAATTTCCTTTGGCTTAAAGTCTTCGAAGACATCGATTTGTCGATTGTCCTGCCGTCGCAACGTATGATCACTGCTCATGATAGCATGTCGGTTTGATTTGATGTCCTGCCGTCGCAAAGTATGATCACCGCTCATGATGGCATGTCGGTTTGATTTGACGTCAGGCATCAGGGCTTGCCAGCTCTGCAAAGGCATATTAAAGCAAATGCTTGAGACCTTATCGCTTGGATTCTCCTCCTCTGTATTTCTCATGATAGATTCTCCGGAAAGCGAAACACTTGCCCCCCCCCCTACTGGTATGGGAATTTCGCCCAAACAGCAGCAGGGTGCACGTTGTGGAGGCACGTAGGGAGTCGTACTTTTCCGCCGGGGAGGGGGGGTCGTGTTTGGTCGTTGTGAGAGGGGCGGGGTCGTATGTGCCTTTGAGACGAATTTGTTGCGAACGGAAAAAAATTTTCCCAGTTGTTGACTTTTCGCGTTCTTTTTTCTGTTTCATGTGTACTATGTACCCCTCCCGACGGAAACTTCTGGGTAAAAAACTGGAAAATGGGGCGAGCTGGTCCGCCTACTGGCCGGCTTCTACATTTTCCAGTTTTTTCACCCATAGGTTTCCGTCGGGAGGGGTATATCAACACAACTAGATGGACGGATTGAAAAACTTGTTGGAAAGGTATTTTCATGCGGGTTTTTTTCTTTCTCCCTGTTCCAGCAGACCTATTGACACACTTGGGGCGGCGCCTGGACGAGTTGTCCGCGGCCGATTTCGCGCGCGGCGTCTCTCGCGGCGGGGCGAGACGGGCGAACCTAGTGACACGCTCGGCGCCCCACTGGACGGGTTTTCCGGGGCTCCTTTGGCTGCCGCGGCGATTGGAAGAGTTTTCCGCTGCGGATTTCGCGCGCGGCGGGGCTTGATTCGGGGCTTGGTGGCACGGGCGGACCTGCTGACACACGGCTCACTGGGACGGCGGCTGGACGAGTGTTCCGCGCGGTCGGACGAGTTTTCCGGCTCTTCGCGCGGCTCTTCGTGCGGCGGTCGCTCGCGGCGGGGCGGTGCGGAATGGGACGGGGCAGCGGGCGGACCTAACGACGCACTTGGTGAAAAAACCGGCAAAGAGGGTCCCTTTGGGCGAGTTTTCTCTCCGGGCGGACCTAACGACCACCCGGCTGGAGATGCAGCTAAAATGCCGTGAAATGGCTCAAATCGGCCAAGTTGTCGAAAAGAGCCACTTCGGATGAAAATTACAAGATTCCAAAAATTAAAGAAAATTATAAGATTCTCGCCTATTATTTAACTGCACCCCACTTAGTAATCAAATAATCCCCTCACTGAGAGTACTAGTGGGCGGAAGAAAGAAGAAAACCACATGAAAATACCTTTCCAACAAGTTTTTCAATCCCTCCATCTAGTTGTGTTGGGGCGAGATGGTCCTCCTACTGGCGATCGCGGCGATCGCCGCTACTGTCGCGAACTATGAACGCTGCCTTAAAGATACCTCCCGCGATAAAAGTGTCATGGATGTTTTCTGTTTACTTATGAAACAGTAGCTCATGAGTAATTCCCCAAAGAAGAAAAAAGCAAGAAGGGTCCCCGAACACCATAAACAAAATTGCTCCCTGACAGTCACACCCCCCTGCGGTCTCTGTGCAACCCCTAGCTCACGAATCCCTTTATCACACCTCCCAGCAGTGGATATTATCCGACGGAAAGAAAAGAATACTAAAAACAACAAAAACACGGAAGAAGAACTCTTGAAAGCAAAAGAAAATCTCAAAAACTCGGCGTCCGGATTTAGGGTTACGGTAGCGTGCATCTTTCAGTTGGTGTAGTGCGTCTAGCTTTGCGCCACGAAAAGAAGGTCGCTCTAATTTTTGCGCGTTTTGCCCTGCGAGATGGGTTGGAGTTGGCTGTATGTGCTCCTAATGAATAAAATAATAAAGGAGAGCAGAGTATTTCATGGGCATGAGCGCGGTAAGCAGAAAGACATGCTACTCCGATTAATGCCCGTCGTCCTAGCAGATAACCGGCCTTCCGTCAGAGGGCATCTAGCAAGTGGGCGGTCCAACTGGGTAGGCATTAGAACTAGAGCTCTCAGCGGCTGTAGTTCGCTAATCGCTCGCTGTGGAGTCGCGAGAGTAGAACTGTCTATTGCTTGGGATCTGTGCTACTTGCCGAAGGAAGAACGACTATGTACTACTCGAGCGTGAGGGCTGTCTTTAAAGTTTGAAGAAGTGGGGTCAGCATAACAGAAGAGGAAACTCCGTCTTGGTGTGGTACAAACGCTGAGGGATGACAAGGAGACTAAGTGTCAGTATGAGAACGCTCACTTGGGCGCTCTTTGGCTTGGGTCCATTGTGCTCCCACCAAGCCGAACTGCTTGCTTTGGTAATGCCAACCATATTTCTTGTAAAAGTGGTCCATCGCTTACCGAACAACCTAATACACTGTTTGGCGCGATATTTCCCAACTTTGCGTGGAGCGGCTTCACGTTCATACAAATAGTTGTCCATTGTCCTCACTTCAGTTGAGTCTACCTACTTACAGGATCTGCTTGGGTTATACGATGCATCGGTAGCCACGACTAGTCACCCATCTGCCCATATTCCATCGAGCAGTAGTCTATTTTCTTCTATCAGTGCCGATCCCGGACCTACGGCACATCGACGTAAAAGTGCCGGAGAGTACAACCACACCCTCACAGTTTCAGGTACTTCTAGAGTTAATAAATGGTTTCTGAGCCTATTGGGTTCAGTGGGGTCGTGTATTAGACATTGTAAGCCTTTAGATGTTCATTTTCCAAGATGCTGTAAACCAAAGAAGGTTTCAGACGATGTTGAGCAAATTAGAAAGTGCTCTCATGAAAGGAAAGTTCACTTCGACGATGAGCACCTCATTTCTGGCTATTTTGAAGCATCAGCTCCGATATTTTCTTCCCAGGATGCGAAAAATGAATTTAGTAGCGGTAAGTTTTTGTCATGTTTTCTTTGAAAATAGGTCCATACTTGCTCAGAAGAGTTATTTTTGTTACTCGTTATCATACAGAGAGGCGGAGGTGGTGTAGTGACAAGTGACGCGCTTACCACTTGCGCGGCGCCGGGTTCAAATCCTGGGTCGACTCCCGCCCAGGCCAACCAAGCCTTCTACCCTCCGGGGACGGTAAATTCGTACCAGATCCGTTTAAGAGGATAAAGCGTTGACTTGTACATCGGCTGGTCACCGCAAGTCATTGTATAGGCCACATCGCATTCAGTAAACCACTGCGATTCTGAATGGAAGTAGAATGCGTGTGGCATCCCACAAAGGGATTGATCAGCGGCGAAGACTTTATCCTTTTTATTTTTTTTATCGTACAAAACGCTATCGCGAAGATCGTAAAAGTGGGTTTTTATGGGATCTAGTCTTAGTGATCGTCTACACGCCAGCACAACTTCCAGTGTGGAACTGGGTAGTAAGTTCCTTGCACAGAGGCCCAGTTCGCAATGGATTCAAATTTAAAGGCACGTCCCGCGTTCAGTTGATATTTAGGCACTTGCTTTGGACGTGGTAATCATGCCTGCAAGCATAAGGGAGGTCTGCTTTCACAGCTCGAAAATACGTGAAGAGAGCACGGCTCGCAACGCTTTTTTTCGATCGAGCTTTCAATGCTTTTCTTCTCTTTTTATTTCTTTTCTCTTTTTATTTCCACAAGAAGGAGGAGAGCTCGGCGTCAGCCGAACGATCCGACTAGTCTTGTTAATGGATCATCTATATGGTATTAATGACGACGTTGTTTATCTAACTAAACGTCGTAAATAATACGTCAGTTATCACAGCTTTGTTAACGTCGACCACTTGATTGCAGTGCACTTCTTTCAGCGGTCTAGTAACTTGCCACTATCTATAAAAGGAGAGGATGGCATAAAAGAATGGTAACTGAGTTACTATGGAGCAATCGTAAGCGGTTGTGAGCAGTGATGAGGATTTAGCCGTTGACACCCTTTACCTACCCCTTTGTCCTTTTTCCAGTTGTATCGCATACTGGGAAAAATGCTTTATACTTGCTGCGCCGCGCACTATGAATTTCGATAATCTTTCTTCTGGCGCTTCCGAGGAGCCCTCAAACCTGTGCCTTCCTTAACTTACTTTCCACCTTCACCTACCTTACCTTTGCTTTATCGTTCTTTTCTTTGCCTTCGTACCAAAAATACCTCTTGAGCATACACGGAAACTCAAGCAGCTTAGTGAATCAGCCGCTGAAGCAACTACCGCTTTTATCATTGCTCACCCCGAGAGTGCCTCGCTCTGTGGTGCGCCCCGCACTCAGCATTGAGAGGCTCAGAATGGCCCTCAGTAATGTTGATGATAGTCATGGTAAGCTACTTATAACGGCACCTTATGATCAACTGTCATACATCTGGAATCCGCTTACTTTAGCGGTCGCATCTAAGGTTACCTTTGATAGGAGGGGAGGCATGGGTGTGTTTCACACTACTAAGAGTCTGATACAACTGAGATAACTTCTGAGAGTTTTGGTGAGTCTCCCACTCTGGAATCCTTGATAGTATCTTATATCTGTTAGTATCCTTTTCACCCGTCATGACTGTTCCCCTCCCACCTCCTACATCACTCCTTAGGACCACGAACCCACTGCTACTGTAACCTGCGTTTCGAATTTGGTGACCCTACACTTCTAAGGCCCCTTATCTTATCTTATCAATTGTTATCATTTTCTGTCACCCGCGTATAGTGTTCCCGTCCCACCCTTAACAATACTTCTTGGAACCATGGTCCCACTGTTGGTGGAAGCTGCGCAAAGAATCTGGTGGTCCCATTGTTCTGAAGCCCACTGTCATATCTTATCAGCTCTATCACTTCGTGTCAGCCGCAAGTAATGTTCCCATCCCAAACCTTACATCGTTTATCAAAACTAAGGTCTCACTGTTGCTGTAACCTGCGTTACGATTTTAGTGACCCTCCCCTTCTAAGGTCCCTTTTCTTATCTCATGCTGCTATCATTTTCTGTCATCCGCATATAGTGTTCCCGTCCCACCCCTAACAATACTCCTTGAAACCACAGTCCTACTGTTGCTGGAACCTGCGTTACGAATCTGGTGATCCTAGTGTTCTGGAGCCAGTTATCGTATCTTATCAGCTCTATCACTCCCCGTCAGCTGCAAATATTGTTCCCATCCCAGACCATAAATCATTTATCAAAACCAAGGTCGACTGTTGCAGTCACCCACGTTGAGTGTGGTGATCTACCCCTTCTAACGCCTCTTATCTTGTCTTATCAACTGATATCACTTCCTGTCACCCACCAATAGTGTTTCCGTCACACCGCCTGCATCGCTTCTCAAAATCAATGTCTCACTGCTACTGGGACCGGCGCTATGAATTTCATGACACACAGACAGACGCACCCAAACATACACACACTGACAGACATACTTAGTGAATTATATAGAGTAGAATCATCTTATCATCAGTATATAACTCACCATTTTTGAACCTGAGGCGTACCTCAATTCTGGTAGAATCTCAGAGCTTCCGACTTAAAAAAAAACATTGTTCGCTTGCTGCCGTTCACCTAAAAAGTGCAAAATGCCCACCCAAGCCGTGCAGCTCCCAATAAAGTTTAAGTAAGGTACACTGAATGAAACCATATAAACGAAAGCGTATCAGAATGTTCCTGTAATTTCGGTCTTCACTTAAACGGCCCACTAAAGGATTTTAGCTCCTGCATTTGTTGTTTTTCTTGTAAAGACATCCGAAAAGGCCCAGAACTATATGAGACACTCTCAGAATAGAACACTATAAAAGTCGGATTTACTGTCGAAGTAAGAAGAACTTCATTTCATGAGTTAATCCAGTCCCATTCTAATCACTTACTCAGCTATTATTTTTTGTTTTGAAAATCTTTTTTTATGCCTTCTTATTTTCAGGTGAACTCGATGTGGACAGTATGTTATCGAGTTATCAACGAGTTTGTCAGACCCTAGGAATAGCTACTATCACGGCTGTGGAACGTCAAATAGAAGTTAGTTGCTTTTTTTCGGTCAAAAACGGCCATACTTTGTCTGAGCGCTTTTTCAGTTGGTCTCATTTACACAATATGGAAGGGAACTAACTTCAAAGTAATTGCAGTAGAAGGTCCCACAGCGTGTACCAGATTCCGCACCGGCGCCTCTTTCGCGTAGCGCTCACGTATGAGTACCCTTTTGATACACAAGCTGGTTTGGTTTGACGCCATGTGTGTCACGCGGCCACAGAGAGTAGAAAACGTATGGCACACCATGTGTGAAATGAATGTGTTAACAAGTGTTATGCATCGTGTATGCATTGTTGTTTCGAAAAGCTTTCGAATTGTCGAGAGGCTGGGAGTTGAGGAGCTTGGCATCGGAGTGGACTTTTTGCGCAGCATTAGCCATTGTCAATTTCAGAAATACTTGCCTTGATGGTCGGGCCAGTTTCAGCTCATCTATTCGATTTCATTTCGAATGAATTCAAATATGGAGTTGTGACCAAGTAGTTTGTGTCAGTTTGAATCAGGTTGAACCTCTCTAGACCGAGGTGGCGCTGTTCGGTTGGAAGAGACATTTTGCACTTTTCTATCTTGGTGAGACCCGTAAACTCATGCGATGCTACGAAATGGTACATGTGAGCACCTTGGTTACAGGAGTCTACAGGTGTTCACAAGAAGACCTGAACTAGCTTCGCTTGACACCATTCGGTGTGCCCGCCATGCTGAGTGGCGTCGTAATGCAGAGCAATAGCGTTAATATAGAGGATCTAGCGAATGGGCTTGGATTTGATACACCCTCGACTTTAGCCAACGTGTTAAGCCAAAAGAAACTCCTTAGAAAGTGAAAAGCGACAATGCGGAAACATCGATGGGCGTCATGCGAAAAAAAATCCGCTCTTCGAATTCCCCGCCAACTAGATCAACAATGAAGTGGTGTCGTAGCACTAAACGTTGAGATATGGGTCCACAAGTATGCCCATTATCCGAGGATGCGGCACGATGGTTTGGTGCTCGGCCTAAAATGCTAGTAGGGCACTTTATAGTGGGGAAATGGCGAAAGAAGGGGGTGAACGGTCAAAATCCTGCGCGAAAAAAAGCCTCCGTTCTTACTGTGTTAATAATCAATTTTGGACGAGTTTCCCGTAGGCATCTTGCCAATAACCGCTACCGAAGGTACGGCTGCATATGTGTACCCATATATCCACGCAGCATCACGGCCGCTTCATGCCAATCCCTTCGCTTCATAATTTGCTTAGCAAATGAATCGATTAGAGCGTCAGGGATGGTCTTCCATTGGTGGGCGTGCGGGAGTTTGGGTCGGTATGGTGTGGCTTGATAGGGCCCTTATAAGGGCATCTCCCTTGGAAAAGGCATTGTGCAGCGTCTACTCAGGGTCGCGGAATTCCGTCCTGCCAGTGTATCAGTCCTACTCGTCTTGGAGATTTATCGTGCCAACTGCCTTTAAGCTGGATAAGGCATGATTACAGTTGAAAAAAATGGCAACATAAAAAAGAAACTGAAGGTGGAAACAGGTGCAGGGTGAGTGCGTAGAACTCAGCTCTTTCCATCTCGGTAATATGGAGCGTACATCTACGGAAGGACAGGACTAATGCTGGACGAGGCGTCTGTGATATATAACCCAGGCAATCCGAAGATTAGTCTTGTTCCCTGAGGTTGGGAGGCATATCAGAGTGGTCGGGAATTGGAGGAGAAAGAGCCAGCGCTGCGTTCAACCAGCTCACCCCGCATTCGCAGTAAGCAGGAAAATGTAGAATGAGGCGTCGAATAGCGCAGAGAGAGGAACTTTATCAGTTTTGACCCACGTGACCGGCACTCCTGCGCAATCGTTCTGTTAATATTACACCTTGCACATTTATGAATGATTTGACTCCATAATCTGCCTTAACTGGAAAGATCGCTCGTTTAGCGGCTGCCTCGTACTTCTTGCTCTCGACAGGAGGTATTTTCCGTGAAAGGCGAGCGAATATCTGCCTCACAAATGGAAGCACTCGAAGAAATTTTTCGACGAGTGCAATTTGATTCTCTTGATTTCGAGTACACCTTCTTGGATGATGATGTAAGTCGCTGCAGTGTTTTTTTTTCAAGTTCTGCAACAAGGTTATGACACTCAGCTTTGTTTTTAGGCAGCCATTGCACTAAGCGAAATGCTCGAATTTTACGAATCAGCCCATAAGTTGAATCTTTCCTTCAATAAACAGATTACTGTTCGCGGATGGACAGATGTATTTAGAGCTGTGAAAAATGTATGTTTCCTTTTTTTGATAACGTTGATTTTTGCTTTTATAAAAGGCTGTGGATTAGAATTGAGGATTTCAGTTTTTAGTATCGCAAATTTCTTCTATTACTGCTTGCAAAATGCATCATTGCAGAGTAATTCGCTGCAAATGCTAAATCTACGGTACACATCACTTTCTGAGAAATCATTATCGGCTCTATGTCGTGTACTTCGTGGAACTCCCCAGCCAGCATTGAGCTGTCTTCATTTGGAAAATGTGAACTTGTATGGAAAGAATCTTTATACTCTTGTTTGTGCCTTGAAATTCAACACTGTGCTCAAGGTTGGTGTTTTTTTGAGGTTGTGTTCCTCTTGCGCCACCGCATGCGTTTACGGTATAGCTTTTCTATGCCTGCTCTATAAGGTCATTTTCAGCAATGCGAGAGAGGCGGAAGGAAGGAAAAGAACGCCAGAGAGAAAAAAAAGAAAAGAGAGGGAGTGGGGAGGAGTTGCGATTGACACATATCTTGAGACCCGAACGCTGTCAGCAAAATAGGCACGCAGTTAGGATTTGTGCCCGCCGCTCCAGCAAATAACATTTGGGCGCTCGTCGCTGAGTGTAAAGAGGACATTCGTAGATAGGCGGTCCAACTGAGTGCTTGCCAGATTTCAACGTACGACAGCTGCAGCACTCTTGTCACTCACAGTGGAGTCCCGAAAGCTTTAGGAGGGGCTACTCGGACAAGAAAGGACCCCTCCAATTAGCTGAGAGCGGGTCTCTCACTAAGTACCGCTAACAAGGGAGGTGTTTCAGGTCATGACGCGCTTTTTGGAAATGGTTTGTTGCTTGTTGTAGTGGTCCATACAAGGGTCACAATTTCTGGGTAGGTCAAAAACGGAGTGAAAAGAATTTGACAAGAATGGGCGGTTTTAACAACCTTAATGGGCTCCTTTCTGCTTGTAACTTCGAGCATGCATAGTTTATGAGGTGGTCACTGATTAGGCCTCAAAATAGGTTCGATTAAAGTCAAAATGTAAGCATCATGTGGGAACACACTTAGCATGCACCGACGCAAGAGTGATGTTTTTGTCAGCAAACCCTTCACCACCTCTGCAAACGGATTGGATGGCGCAGTGGATAACACGACGTGTTCTGGATGGCACGGCAACGAGGCACTTTGTGGATCGGATCCTTCTCGCGGGAAATATTTTGCATTTTTCAGCTTTCCATTCATTCACGTGCCTGTGTGTCTGGCAGTAAAAATAAGTAAAGTATATGCCATTTGAAGGCATATACTTGTGGCCACATTGTGGCCAGAAAGCGTGTCTACGCTGCCCCTCGTAGTTCATGTCAGAAGGGTTATTGCAATGAAATACCATTACATTTATGTTCAGCGTTGAATTACCCCTGGAGACTAATTTCTAGCCAAGTCTGACGTTTCGACTTTACTTGGAAAATGTGGGCCATTCTACGGACAATTAGCAGCAGGCTGGAGTCCACCCAACATGGATTACCGGTCTTGGAATGGAATTTTCTACCGGTAATCAGAAAATGATGCAGCCGGCTCATACAAGTGAGCCAGGTATTGTTCTTTGCGAAAAGACACGACTGAAGCGTTATTTCAGTGCAAAGACCAGTCATCACCAGTATGCTAAGCGCGGATTATTGGCTACCATCCAGGCGCGACCATCTCTACCCATTTTTCGAAGTTGAGTCAGAACCTCGGATTTCCTCAAGGTTTCTTTCTAGAGGTTTTTGACCCCTGAACACGAATATGATATCTATTTCGCACGTAGAGAGCTGTGAGTCGCGCTACAGGTGCAAATTCACTGCGCCAGCCCACCCGCAAGAAGAAAAACAGCAAAGGAAAACCTATATAAGTCCGCTCAGAGAATCGTTCCGCAAATTTTAAAGGTAGTTTCGAGTTTATTGTGTCAAGACGAGTACAATGATATGCACTCACTGCAAATGGCCAGGCTGTCCTATTGGCCTTTCCTGGATGACACCTTACAAACCAGCACAGTTGTGTGGAAATTGTTTCCGGAAATGTTCACGTCTCGTTGCGTTGAATACAGAGCAAAACTGCTACCGCAATGGGGATCTGAACCGAGCCCTGCATTGTTGTGCCATACAGAACCCATCGTGCTATCCGCTACGCCATCTGATCCGCAAGCAATGGTCATGAAGGAAGCGCTAACAAAAGCATAACTCTTGCGTCGGTGCATGCCAAGTGTGTTACCACATGATACTTACATTTTAACTTTAATCGAATCTATTTTGAGGCCTAATTAGTGACCACCTCATAAACTATGCATGCTCGAAGTTACAAGCAGAAAGGAGCCCATTAAGGTTGTTAAATCCGCCCATTCTTGTCAAGTTCTTTTCACTGAGTTGACCTACCTAGAAACGCATAGCAAAACTGAAACAAATTTTTGTGACCCTTGCATGGACCCCTACAACAAGCAGTAAACCATTTCCAAAAAGCGCGTCATAACCTGAAACACCTCCCTTATAAGGAGTACAGTTAAGCGTCACTGCAGTTGTCTGCAGAACATTCGGATATTTGGACGTTGTTAAGGGAGGCTGAGACGAATTTCAGAGTACTTCGAAAGTTTTGAAATATAGGTGTTGGGGATAGTAATGCTGTTTGTTTGCAGGAACTATACCTAGGTGAAAACACTTTGCAAAGTGGTGATGGAGCTCATCTTTATCAGCTAATCATGAACAATACCGCTATTCAAATGCTTGACTTGCGAAACAACAGTTTAAGCGTGCGTTGATATTATTTGCTATGTTTGCTCTCAGTATACTTAGCATTTAATTTGATCGCCTAATAATGTGATGCTTTGGTATTCCAGGACGTCGGAATTGTTAAAATTTGTGAGGCATTGCGTAATCCAGAAGTGGTGAAGAAAACTTCACTTACGGCCCTTGTACTCTGGAACAACAAAATTACTGCCAATGCGATGGATGCCGTGGCCTGCGCACTGGTGACGTAGTTTTCTGTTGATCACCCGAAACTCATGAATCTACTAAATTAACCGTTTCAAGTGTGAAAACACTCACCTGGAAACGCTAAACATTGGAAGCAATCCACTCGGTGAGCTAGGCGTTCAAAGACTGAGGCCTGCTCTTGGAGGAAACGGTAGTAATCTACATAGGATTGGTCTTCAAAGCACACAAATGACTTGTCAGAGTATGTCCATTTTTTATCCTTGTCAGAATGCGCTCCTGCTTTGCGGCAGCGTTTTGAGCGTCTGCCAGCGTTTTAGGCGTTTTCCACACGACCGTTTCGAACGACTAGAAAAGTATAAGTATTGATCCAGCGTTTTGAGGGTGCACCGGCATTTGCAGTGAGGTATGGGTATAGATTTTTCGTCTTAAGCGTTTAGAGTTTTTGGCAATCAGAAAAGTATAGGTATCGATTATAGCTGAGAGTGCTGGCAAATGCTCAAAACGCTGGTGGACGCTCAAACGCTTGCCGCAAAGTGTGAACGTACTCTAACACATGTAGCACTAGCCCTAGACTAAGATATCTCAAGTAACGCTAGTTTCGTTTAGGTGCAATACTTCTGGCTGAATGTCTTGCAGACAATTCCACTTTAATCCGCGTGGATCTTCGTGATAACCCCGGAATAGGTATGACTTAATTACGGGTCGTGTTTGTCAAAGTGTATTTCGCATCATATTTCAGGATCTGCTGGACTATTAGCTCTGCACTCCGCAATGAAAATAAATTGTTCAATTTCACTGTTAAACTTGGACCAAAGCTGTGTTGTCGCTTCGAATCTTAAAGTATGTTCCGTGGCTCACCAAGCTCCTTTTACGCTTGATTGCCTTGTTGTGCCTATACCAGGACTCTGAGAAATCCCATGACCTTCTCAAAACCCTCTCCAGTTTGTGATATTTAAACTTTTGTGAAAAGAGGCTGATAGTGTCAGTTGAGAACATTATTGAGATGTTGTAAACATATTCCGTGGAGAAACCTGCAACTCAAAAATGTGTGAAGAGAGGAAAGCACGGTTATACAGGTACGGCCATATCAGGAAGATTTTCGTCGCTACTACGAAGACATAAAGCGCTATTGCGAACGGAACAAGCGTGCTGTACAGCAGAAAACTGAAAATGATCCAGCCTGTGAAAATGTGTCAAAACCAGCAAAGAATGAGGAGTCCAGCAAAGAATCTGAGGCAAAACAACAGGAGGAAGTGAAACCAGGTGAGCCATCAGATCTTCACTTAGTATTGGTCTTCAACTATCCATTGTATTGCAAAAATGTAGTTCTGTCATCATGATTAGCTTCTTATTTCAGCGGATTCCGTTGCTACAGAAGCCGACCATTCGCCGTCACATGGCCAGGCTTTGCCTTCATTTTCAAATGGAACGACGTCATCCGGAAATAGAGGAAAGTTTGTGCGCAGCTCATCGCTGACGTGCACTGAAACCGTTGCTGATATCCACGTGAGTCTTGCAAGAACGCTTGCGTTACCATAACTTTTCTGATAAGCTGTGTAAAGACAAATTGATCACTCACCTCGATGGCTCCTGGTCCTTGCCAAGTGCGAAGTGAATGCGCACGCAGCTATCACTTTCTCTTCTCAAAGAGCGCGGAATGTGGCTGGAGAGTAACGTTGTCCGGATGCTGTTCGGGGCATCGCCCGCACTGCCAACCATAGCCAAACGCGCTACTTGTCTGTGCCCTCTCACATCTGCTCGATCTTTTCCACTGAACTCGAAGGTCTGTGTACAGTTTGAGTTTGAAAACACTCTATACAGATGCTTATAAGGCGGATTCATAGCATGGACGAGGAGGATGGGGTGGGGAGGGGGGGGGGAGGAGGAGAAGGTCTGTAATAGGCACATTCGCTTTCCAAAAGGCACCGAAATGAAGCTGGAGGGTTGTGACAAATCAGTGTCCCTTCTTCGTCATTGGCTACTATCCGATTTCGACACGTGATGCGCAGCCACACATTGCTTTTATGTTGTCAGCAAATACCTTGAGAATCAGGCGACTGGGAAGGTTCGCGATGTTTGCAGCGAAGGTTTTGTCTTGCAGCTGAAGTAAAGGTGTAGAGTAAAGGTGTAGAGAACAGAGATGTTCCATTCATGCATGTGAGACAAGTGGTTGAGTTGAGCACATACAAGTGGTGCGCCTTGTTATGGTCGTTCCACATGTTGCGTATTTCTGTACTTGTTGCGTATTGAGCTATGGCCAGAGACGTAAAGAGCATCAACATCGTACGGTATCCGTGATTTCTCTAAGCGTAAAGATGATTTTTAAGGAACGGCTACGAGTACTCGGAGGTTCAACACACTCTTTGGACGAAGCCAATACAGATTCCACGAAAACTATAAAAAAGTGTTCAACTTCTTCCCACAATGCGCTTGGACTAAGTAAGCCTTGGTGCTAAAAAGGAAGCGCGGTGTTCGGCTCAGCGGGGAGGGCATTCTGCACCTTGCTACTTCATTTAATCCATGTTAATTATCTTACGATGCTGCAAAATGAGTAAGTAAGCCACCAAGGTCACAAGAATTCACAGATCAGCCTGGACAAACTTTGCTGAATACTATTCAGGGACCCCTCTGAGCCGAACTGCACCCAACAATAATTTATCTCCGGAAGCGTTACCTGCTACTGTTTGGATCAGATATGTTTCAGCTGAATGGGGATCATTGCCTGCAATTCCGCAGGCTAGTTTGGCTGCGAAGCCAGTTGTGCGGAAACTTCGTCGTTTCTCTGTGTCACCATCCTCATCAACATTCGATGTTTCAAAACCTCTACAAGCTTCTGTAAGTGCTGGTATACCTTGAGAGCTCTTCCAGAGTTGTTTCAGCAGTGTCGTTTCGAGTTTGTAAAGGATAAGCAGCGGATTTCTTACACGGTTTTGTTTCAGAGCGCTCCTATTCAAGAGCATCCTCCTCGTCCGAAAACATTAGCCGTAGGAATCCCGGGAACGAGTGAAGGTTTACCATTATCAACAGTAAAGACATGTTCATCTCTTCCTGATTTAGTGAATTCGGGATCATCCGCTCTAGATGGTTCGTTCGTTTCCTTCTCTGTGTGCTTCTCGATAATCTGTGCACTTTACAGCAAGAGCAAGTGATAACAAGAACACCTCTGTGGAAAAAGGCAGTTCCGCTGATCATTCAAGCGCAGCTTCCACTGATAAGCAGGACAAGGAAGATTCATCCAGTGCTGCTGCTACAGAGATGAAGAAATCCCATCGTAATCCATGTTCTGATGGAAGCACGGCAGATGCAGATGTGGAAGAATGCTCACATCAAGTTCTACCTTGTCAGCCACCTTCAGAGGATATGATGAGGGATGTACGCATCGTGATTGGTGATCTTGTCAATTACGTGGTAGGCTTTCTTACTCTCTTCTGTGTACCATTGATGAAACAAATTTTGAAGCCGCGGCCCTAGGGATTATGTCGTTTCGAAATCGAATTATGAGGATCTGACATCTATAGCTACACAAGTTGACAAGAAATCCCTTGCAGGTCTATGAAGAAACGTCGCGAATCGAGCGCAAACGTTCACTTCTCTTACAGACTACCTCTTTTCCAGCTGGAGAGCTCGTTTCTGTCAGAGCTGGAACTCCAGAAGAAGTGACCCCAACTAGGAGCTTTACACCGTCCAGGTTCGTTCACGTAGTTGCTATTTCGTAGAATATTTTCCAAAAAAGAATCTCGAAAGACACCAAAACTATGAAAAGTTTCTCAAGGTCACTCAGACTGCAATATTTCAGTGCCTAGCACCTCCGTCAGGCCTGAAAATTCAGCTAGTTGTTTTGTTAGACAGTATACCTACTATATGAATCTAACTTACTGTGACTGCTCCCTCAGTTGCTAAGATTTTGAGTTTTGTAGGTAATATTTGCTCAATCATCTGGACTTTTCTGTTTCCAATCACTGAATCCCGATAGAAAGTAGATAGAGTAGTCCTGAGTCGCAGGGGGATGGGGGGGGGGGGGGAGGAGACTGGGCACTTTTTTCCACTGCGAGAGTATGTGGGTTTTTTGAATTGCCTCGGAAATTCTTACAAATGTGGATATTCGGATTTTGCTTTCGATATGATTGTGATCGATGTGGAGCATAACGAGGTAACCCAGGGCGTTTGTGCGGTTGGGATGGTCGCAGCGGAGGAAGAAGTCGTATTAGCTTTCGGGAAAAATGTTAACGTTTGGCTTTCCCTATATTAATTTTTTTTCCGTTTCGCTGGCTCTGTTTGCGCTCTCCTTCTCGCTCTATGGTGGCCATTTTTCTGGAAAATGGGGAAAACTGGAAAATCAAAAAAAAACTTCCGAAAATGTGGTAGGAGGAAGCTAGGAAAATTTAGAAAGAAAATAAGCAGGATGAGGATGGGGAAGCAGGTTCATCCGAATGACTGACAAAGGAGGTCTTTTGGCGCGCTTTTCAGAAATGGTTTGTTGCATGTTGTAGGGGTCCATATAAGGATCACAAAAATGGGTTTCATTTTTGGTATGCGCTTCTGGGGAGGTCAAAAAATGGCTGAAAAGTTTGCTGGGGAAAAGCGATTTTGAACCATTTTTCTAGGCTTTTTTTCTTTTGCTGGGGAAAAGCGATTTTGAAACATTTTTCTAGGCTTTTTTTCTATCTCTAATGTTGATTATGCACAACAAATGAGACCTTCGTCGACACTGCATCGAAAACAATACAAGTCGAGGTGAAAAAGTACTTTATTTGGCACACAGTGAGGCAGCATTGTAGTTTTCTAAGGATTCTCGCAGCATCCCAACCCGCACTTAGGCAGGAAGGGGGGGGTATTCAGAGCCATGTTGGCGCCAAATGACCCAGCGCCAGTTATAAAGGTCAGAACCGTGATCAGAGCTGTCAGTGACCTCTATATACAGACTTTCAGCGGAAATTTTCTCCTCTAACTGAGCGCTTAACAGCCCATGCCTGCGGGTTGACAACAATTCAGTGCAAGAATGCTCTTGCAGCAAATCGGCGATAGGCTGCGCCGTCGTTAAAAATGAGTGTCGTACTCGTGAGTAGGGTATCCAGTCATCCCCGGAGCCCAACTTTCAGCAAGAGTTTTCTCAGTAATGTTTCGAGAGTGCAATAGTTAAGCAGGGTCGACTCGTGAAGTTTGAGTGTACAGAATGAGCTCCTAAATGGCATATATCCATGTTATACATCACCACGCACGCAGGAACACAAGGAGACAGAAATCCGAAAAACGCATAAAATATCCGAAAAATGCAAAAAAAACCGGCGTCAAGAGGATCCGATCTGCAAATCTTCTCCGCCATCCGCCGACCACGGAACACTGGTTGTGGGAGTTGTTGAAGTAACTTCGGTACTACTTTTCTCCATGCACTTTCTTTTTGACTTTATTTTGCTCTCTTTCCGGTACATAGTGAAGGAACACCTCATAAACTAAGCACTCTCACAGTTACAGCTACAACAGAGCCTAATAAAACGGTTAAAATCGCCCTTTCTTCGTCAAATTGTTTTCACTCAGTTCTTGACCTCCCCAGAAACGCATAGCAAAAATGAAATCCGCTTTTGTAATCCTTGTATGGATCCCTACAAAAAGCAACAAACCATTTTTGAAAAGCGCGTCACGACCTGAAAGACCTCCTTTGTGAGGGGTTGGGTCGTATGTTGCGAATTTTCGCCAGCAACAGGACGTGCTCTAGATACACCGCAGCGGTGTAAGTTGGCCTTGAGGGGCATTCTGTAAACCCCTATCAACTTCCGTTTAGCTACCACATCCCTAATCAGCTCCATTTACAAACCATTTTTCCCTCTAATGGTTCACCCACCCCGCTAATGCTTCCTTCAAGGCTTGAACAGATATTCTTGATGCGGGGACAAAAGTGGAGTTTTTGTTGTTCTGACACAATCACTGGATAGATGTCTCAGCCAGCGATCGCTCTCGGATACCACTACATACGAAAGAAGATCCACGTTACGCGATTTGGAGAAGGTGTCAAAAGAAGTACGACGCACGACAATGCGAATCTTGAATAAGATTATGGATGTGAGGACCGCGAAACGCCTTGTCCCGACGCACCCCAGCGTACCAACATATTATGCTTTGGTCAAAACGCACAAGTTTCCTGAAGACGTCGATTTACGTGACATCGATGAGAACTTGATAAAAACAAGAACAATCATATCTTCCTGCGGAGGTCCGTCGGACAGGATCAGCTGGTTCCTTACGAAAATTCTCTCACCACTACTTCGTCACGTAGCTGCTCACTTAGTGAATGTGAGAGAATTCATATCTGCTCTTGATCGATGTGAAATACCGGTTGAAGCAGCATATGCAAGTTTCGACGCGGTTTCATTGTACACCAATGTGGATAACAACGAGGCTGTCAATCTGTGACTGAACTGCTACGACATCATCAACAAGAAGTACACACATTCGGATTGATAGAGAAAGATCCGCGAGAGCTCTTAACGGCCACTTTGAAGTGCAACATCTTCCAGTACAATGGCATGTTCTTTTCACAGAAGAGAGGTCTGGCCATGGGATTGAGGATATCCCCGCTGCATGCCATCGTCTATCTGGACCGTACCGAAAGAAGATAACTGATCTCAGGAATTATATTCTACAAACGGTACATAGACGATGTGTTTGTGATTGGAGCTACCACCGATGTGATGCACACAATGCTTCAGTATTTGAAGTCGTGTGATCCGAACATCCAGTTCACGGTGGAGTATCCAGATGAAAGCGGCTTTATTCCGTTCCCCAATGCAAGGATCAGGATAAACCATGGTGCGAACGAACTTGTTTGGTACAAGAAACCAATGTCGAAAAATATCCTTTTGCATTCCCGAAGTGCACATCCCCTGTACATGAAAGCGAATGTGATAAGAAACCTTATCACAACGAAGTCAAGGATCTGCACAGTGGAGTCAGGAGAGATAGATCGGAAAATAGCAAGAATCTTGGAGGAGAACGGCTACACGAGTTGCCACCCGAGAACATGGCGTCCCTTCTTTGTTGATAAAGAGATACCTCTAGTGTTGCCTTACATCAACGAACGAAGTGCAAAGAAGGTGAACTATATCGTCAAGTCGTCTCATCTTCCAGCTAATTTTCCGACCACCTGCTAATTTGAAGAGCCTGCTGACGTCATCGCGGATTTATGAAGAAAAATGTGGCCGGAATAACTGTACGTACTGCACCGATACTAAGATCTGCCAGTTGCGAGGTACAGTCTATTTGGTCACATGCGAAGGATGCGGTCAGAAGTACGTTGGTGAGTCTGTACGGCCGCTTTATAAGCGAATGGACGAGCGTGCGAGCGTTGTGAAACCCCCTTTCATACCCCAGAAGTGCTTTTTCGCGGCACCGCACACTCCTACACCATCTAGAACCACCGCCCTCTCTAAAAGTTGTTGTCTTACACCGCACGAAAAGAATCGCCATTGGAAAGGAAGTTGCTTGAAGCACTCAAGCGGCTATCACCGGAGATCAACATCAGGGATGAGCTCATGGAAGCAATGAGACTCGTATCGTAGTGGTGGCGATAAAGAAGTCCTAAGAAATGTCACGCACGTCGCATTTCTCGAATGTCTTTTAGTTGCATAGGGTGCTCCATCTGGGTAAGGCGTTCATTAACTATAATTAGGCTTTGACAGTGACTGCACACATAGCATTAATATTATAGTGACTGATCATTATTGTGGACAAGTTGATCGTCCTGGTTAGTGCTTTTGTATAAGCTAACAATGTTAAGTAGTGCTGTGCTGTATGCTTGATTTGATTGTTTAAGGTCTGAGGAGCTGTTAGTACAGCGAAAGCTCACCGATAAAGCATTTGAGCGAGTCCTCATTTTCAAAAGAAGAATTCAACCACATGAGGCTCAGGGATAGTTCAATTATACCAATATTCAGAATGGTGAATATTGCTGAAGAGACGGCCGAGGAGTCTGAGCAAATGATCGTGTCGAGCGTTGTTCGTGGCATGGTGCGAGAGGTTCTGCGACGAGAAAAAGAAGAGCTGCGAAATACTCTGGATAGACGACGGAAACGTTCCTGTGTAACCCCCTCGAACACGCCCGTTTAGCTGAATGAGTCTTTTAATTTTCTTGAGGGTTTGCCCTATTTCATAAACGCATTGACTGTAAGGTTTCTAAGTGAGCTTTTTTCCTCTTGTTCCTTTTCTTATTCACCAGTCCTTGTGATAGTTCTCTTAGCTTTATTTCCGTGATCAAATAGATGTCTACCTCTTACTTAATTCAAAATACTTCTTATCACTTGTTATCGATACTTTCTGTCCACATCTGCTACTACTCGAGTCATATACCATTTCTGGTTCCGTTTGCCTTTTTCACTAGGCAGCAATCCTTACTATTCGTTCGCCTGTTATACACCCTAGTGAATAATTCATTTTGTCCCCAATTATTTTACAAGTTGTGATCTCATCACTGCTTAGTACACCAATTTTTGGCTTTTTTTTAATAATATAGTGTATGGAGGACGTTGTTGTTCAACTGATCCGCTCCCTGCAAGTCATTCTTAAGCTTATAGAGGATTATTCGTAGTCTGTACATAGTTACCTAACTGTATACAATTCGCCGTTTATCTGTGATTGTATTAATTGAAAGAGTCGTGCTGTTATTAGTC